TCTCTTTGTGGATTTTGGTGTGCCTTTGTATATCTCTCTTTGTTTTTCTGTCTCCTTTTCCCCTTCCTCCTTTTCTCTCTCTGCCTTTCTTTTCCTCTCTCTCTTGCTCTAGCTCTCTGTCTCTCTCTCTCTCACACGCACACACAGAATGAGCAATTATTTCACAAACACGTATGTCACCTTCCATAGTCAGTTTCTCTATAAAAAAGAAGCAATTAAAAATTTAGAAAACTCATAATATTGCTAATTCCTGCATCTATCACTATCCTCCCTAAGTAGAGAATTACAGGGGATGATAAAAGTTACAGATTCCTTTTGATATCTCTCCAGTCCACTTCCGCAACTCCTTGCTTTCACTGGCTCCAAGCCTGTAGCTAAACTCACTGAGGCCCCTCCCAATCCTAGGACAATCTACCTCTGCCCTTGATCCTGGGTCACAATGATGACAAGGGATGACAGCAAATTAGCAACCCCCACCCCTGCTCACACACAGGTGTGCCTGCACGCACATACATACACACAAACATACACACCTGGGAACACAGTAATCGAAGTGGATGTGGCAGCCTTGGGTGGAGGGCACGGGTTGGATCAAGATAATTAGGTCCTCAACTCAGAGCTGGATGGGTCCATCCATTCCTCTATTTTCTTACTCAATCTACACAATGACTTTGCATTTTGCATATGGGAAAACCGATCTTGAAGAATGAACCACTTTGCTCAAGATCACACATCTGGTAAGAGATAGAGCTGGGATTTGAATTGGGGTCCATCTGATTGTAAAACCTGTGCTTTATCTCCAAATGGAAAGTCTTTATCCGAGGTAGCCACAGGAAGGGTGACTTTATACAGTGAACCCTCATCATGATATAAAACTCATGTTTCATGATGACAGCTAGGGAGAATGTGTGAATATCAAGTCAAAAGGTAAAATGGAGCCCCAGTGAGAAGAAGGTAGTTTTTTTCAAAATACAGGGATATCAAGAGCACAGCAACATGTAGTGAAAGTATTATGCTAGAGCAAGAGACTCAGAAGTTCACACACTGATTGGGGGAATGGCATGGAAGCAGAGGTAATGGCTAAAGAAACCCTAACAGGCTAAACAGCTTCCATACTAATCATGCCTGGAACCTGGAGCTTCCAGAGATGACTTTGGCTACTCTAGTTGTGTCCTAAGGCCCAGCTCTTCCTGCATTGGATTAGATTCTACCTTATTGACCTGTTTGATGCTCTAGTCACCTACAGACTACTGGAAAGCTCAGAATTCCCACCTGGTGATATAAAATTCTGCCTTCCTACCTGGAGTTCTTACCAGTGGTTATTGGCATGCCCCGTGCCCCCTCTGGGATCAACATCAAAAACTAGGCCTGTTATTCTAGCTTTTATTTTTGCCCTATTACAGGGAAGAAAATACAGAGGATCCAGACCACCACACTTCCTTTCTGAGTCTAGAATAGATATTACCAGCTGATCGTAATTCCCTTTCTCAATTATCCCAATAACTTGCACACAGTGTTCTAGACAAGCCATTCCCTAGTTGATCAGAATTGGCACATGAAAGCTAGAGACCATAATATGATAGTGACTGGGTATCCCACCCAGCCTGGAAATGTCAGCCCCCTCCCTCTTCCCTGCTGTCTACTAGTGGATTTTTTTTTAAAGTCTGTAACAAAAATGATGAAATATTGGTAGACTAAGGCATGCTGGTAATGAACAACGTAGGAACAGAGCCCATATCTTCTTTATTTGGTGCCACAACATCTGACACAAGAAAATACAGAGAAAAAACTGTTGGGAAATGTTCAAAGAATTAATGAATGATAACTATGATTTTATTTGCCCACAGAATGTACCTTTAGAAACACTTAGGGGAATGAGAGTAAACCTCTCACGGGAAATATTTTAATAAGGCACATTCACCCCCATCTCCCTTGGCTTTCCAGTAATTTCCAGTGGCTTCCCCAGATCAAAAAAGTGGCCAGGGTCCCATCATTATGAAACCTGGGAAGGCTAGGGCATTTGTTTCTAATGTCCAGGGACAACAGAACTAGGGCGAAGGAAGCAATGGGCTCAAGTTTGGATTGAAACACCATCTCCTTCAGTAAGAATGGTGGCCCTTTGCCTCTGTAAGTTAAGGTTTCCCTTCTGTAAAGGGAGAAGTGAGCACCCTTGCCTCCTTTGCTTTGTAGGTAGATAAGAAGATCATAGGAAGGCCATCGGCAAACTGTAGAGGGCTGTATAAATGCTCATAGTTGTTATCCATGCCCTATTTGGTCTATTTTCTCCAACCTACTCTACCAAGTTTGGCCCCTCCACTCCTCCTTCCACTAAGAAAGTTAAAAGGACACTTACAGGGATTTTTCTAGTGACATCTGTAGCTCACAGAGAAAACTGAGGGTTGAGCTCACACATGAGCAAGGTATGGAGCGGGGACTAGAATCCTCAGCTGATGCCCACAATTTTTACTTTATTTCAAGCTACTGTTTTCTATGTACCTACTATGTACCAGACATTTTACCTGCATCATCTCATTTTATTCTCCCAAAAGCCAGGCAGGAGAATTACTATCCCTCATTTAACACACGAGGAAACTGAGTAATTCCTTTAACACACGAGGAAACTTAGTAATTCCTTTACCTGAGGTTACCTGCCAGGTGTGTATAAAGAGGAGTAGAGACATGAAATATTCTCCACCCCACTTCAGCACCGCACTGTCCCTCCTCCTCTCACAAGCTCTGTCCCCCGAGGTATCAGCTCCCAAGCCCAGATTCATCCTGGCCTGTCCAATGTTTAGCAGATGTCAGTGACACACAACTCATGGCTGGGGAGAAAAGGGATACTAGCTATCTTTAAGTCCAAAGACTTCTTTCAACTCTACAGAGGCAAATCCCCAGCTTCTCATCTCCCCATTCCCTAGCATCACTCCCAAATATAAAAAATAAAACCAGAGTATCTGATCTACCATCTAGGTGGTCACAGCAGGTGAAGATGGAGGGGAAGAAACACACAGAATGGTTAAGTTGACCTCAATGTATCCCCTATTCTCTTCTTGGGAGCAAGTATGGATGATGGAAGCAAGAAAAGTGCCTTTGTAGACTAGAAGCCCAGGAAAGAAAACACCAAGTTTACCCTGCAAGTTTGTGGCAAAGCCAGGTCTTGAGGGGGTCCTCCTAGCTGTTGTTTCAGCACTCTTTCTTCCTCCTCTCCCATCTTATTTGTAACAAATTCCATGATCCACCAGACAAGGAATGGGATTTTCTGGAATGAGAAATTCTAAAGTCTGAAGACAGCTAAGCATGGAAAAGGGGTGGGATTTAGAATCAGAGTAGTGTCCCAGGCCCCAAACGTGATATGAAGCAAATTACTTATGTGGCCACAGTGAGCGAAGGTTTTTATAAACATAACCTAATTGTATTACTTCAAAGTCCTGAAGCTTATTGCCCTGCTTAATGATGTGTCACATTATTTGCAGGGTAGCACAATGAGACTTCTATTGATTTAATGCACTTCCTTAAAGACTGTCATTGTTAACAGTCATAAAACGGAGCTATTCCCAGACAACTCAATTATATCCACTGTGCCCATAAACCATCCCTTGCCCCACTCAGTTGCACACAGGAAGCAGAAAGGGGTGAGAACACGACTGGGGATGCAAAGCCTCCAGGGACAAAAGGAAGGGATCTAGAGATTGGGAAGGCAGGTGGACTAGGGTTTTATCCATTCGGGAATGTGCAACTACATAAAAAGCACTAGACAGGGTGTGTAGAGCAATCCCACCTGGTCCTGGCCCTGCCAAGCAGAGCTGTGTGAAAGCTCCCTCTCCCCTACAGACTTAGTTTCCTCAACTGCAAAACTGGAGTGCTATGCTCAATGAGATCTTTCAGATCTCTCCTGGCTCCCACACTTAGTGGTTTTTTGTTGTGATTGCTTTCGTTCTTGGAGATAGGGTGGCTGAGCTGTATGAAAAGATGCAAGCATGTTTTTAACATTGTTCTTCGCCCTTTGCATCAATTGAGAGACTTTCTTTTACAAATAGTTGATAATAATAGTATTAACTATATCAAGAAGCACTTCAGTATAGTTGAAAGAGGGAAAGAATATGGGCTTTTGTGGTCAGCCAGCCTTGGGTTCCAATCCTGACCCTGCTACTTATTAGCTGTGTGTCTACGGGCACTTGATGTGGCATATCTAAGACTCATTATCTCATGTGTAAAGTGGGAGTGTGAATACACTGACCTATTAAAACACATGTATATACATGTGCGATATTTTTAGCTTTCTCAAAATGCTATTATATAAACTGCTTATCTTTAATGTGAGAAGCAGACAAGAATAGCTACTTACATACCCATTTCACAGGAAGGGAAAACTGAGGTGGAAAAGGAAAAACCTTCCCAAGGTGAGTGGGCAGAGACTGGTCTCCTGCACCTGGTCTGAGGAATTCCAATTCTGATAATAGCTGAGAATCAAAGGGAAATGAAATCTGCTGAACCTTCCTGAGGATAAAAGCCTCTCCACAGGACATAATGGAAACCGTCCGCTTGGTCATGAGGCTATTGTTTTTTCCAGAGGAAGGGAGCTCTTCTTGGGAGAGAAGAACCCAAGCTTTTTTGGGGTTCTCCCAAGAAGCCTGGAGAGAAGAAAGCATCAAGAAGACACCAATTGCTGACCCGAACCTGATCCCTGGCAGTTGTTTCAAAGAGAGGATGTGGGAAGCAAAGTACTTGCAGGAGAAGGCAAGGGCTCTGGAGTCTAGAACACTAACTTGAGGCCTCAGAAAATGCCTAACTTGAGAGAATCCTGCAAAAATCATTGTATGATCCCTCACTCTGCCCATGGTGAAACCGAAGCTCAGAGAGAGGCAGGGACTTGCCCAAGGTCACACAGCTTAGATGTGGTAGAGCCAAGATTTAGATCCAAGGCAGCTCAGTTGTTTCCCCAGACACCTTCCCTCTATACCCTGCCTGGCCACCTCCTCCAGTAGGCACTCCGGGCTTACCTTTCTGATACTGGAGCCACAGCTGCTGCTGGACCTTCTTGCTGGGAAAGTGGATGATGCAGGTGAGCTCTGAGCCATAAAGGGCCTCTGCGATGTAGTGGGAGCCATAGTGCTGGATGAAGGACAGCAGCTCCTCCCGACTGCTCTCCTTGGTCAGGATCTTGAGAACGTTAGTGAAGCCTGGACAAGAGAGGAGCATGTGGAGGTGGTCAGATGCGGGAGGCTGGCAGCTAGCAAATTATACAGTGGCAAAGGTTCTTCCCAGCCTGGATTTGGTGCCTTACCCCTCTTTCTCTCCTTCCTCAAGCAAGCACATGACCAAGCTATTCTTCCAGGGGCCTTCCTGAGCTCCTCCCTGCTACTGGACAAAGCCTAGTGACCTTCTCTAGATATTCAAGGTTCCAAGTTCATCTCTCATGAGCCACCCACACTAAGTTTTAGCTCCAGCCAAATTAGTTTTATTATTTATCCTGAATGTGACCTGGAATTTCTATCATTCTATCTTTCCTTGCATTCTCACTACCCTCAACACACACACACACACACACACACACACACACACACACACACACACACATATGCCTGAAATGGCCTCCCTATGTCTTCCTTAAGTCACAGCTGTGCTTCAAGGCCCCTGGAAGTCACCTCTCCTCCAAGAAGCCTTTCCCATCATCAGGGACAGGAGTGCCTCCTCTCTGCACTTTCAACATGCACCACCTTAAAGTCAGAAGCTCTACCTTATTTGTCTCTGTATCTGCACATGCATCCTCCCCGCACACCCACCCCAACTGGGTGCACGGCCCAGTGCCTGGGACACAGCAAACACACCAACCACAATTATTACAAGAACAACCAATACTGTGCCACATCAAAGTAAAATGTAAAAGAACAAGCTTCTCTCCAACATTAAAAGTGAGCTCTAATTTGCCAACATTTGATTGACAAAAGGGTTTTCCAGGAGCATCATATTGATTAATTAAAGCAGATGCACCTTTGCACTTCTAATAGGAACATCACAGTCTTATTCACAAGTGCAGTATGGGATGTGGGGGGCAGAAAACAGAATTAGGGCTCAAAGAATGGGTGTCTGATGAGAACAACCCCTCTCCATCAACCTGTTAAGTAATGCAACTGGATAATTAATACAGTAGTGTTAATAATATGATGCTTCCTGTTCAGTAATAAAAAATAATACACAGAGATGCCCTGAGGCTCTTACCCAGGCAGACAAAACTGCAATCAAATCCTTGATTCATTCATTCCCTGCTCTGCCACTTACTAGCTGTGTGACCTTGGGCAAGTTATTTAACCTCCCTAACCCTCAGTATACTTATGTGAAGAAAAATGGGATAAATAATGCCTTCCTTGCAGTACTGTTCTGTCATAAGAAATGAAACATTATAAAATGCTTAACAGATGTCAGCAATAATTACTATTTCTACTTTCCAGAGGGTGAAATCCTCCAATTCCCAGGCTATAAGAGCTCCAGTTTGCTGATGAACAAAGTGATATTGAACAAGAAAAGAGAAGAAAAGAACTCATAGATAATTAGAGGACACTCAGACAATAAATCCGTGACAGTGTTATTAGTAAGAGTCAGGGTAGAAAATCCTAGGCCAGGCCTCATTCCAGGTTCTTTCATTCATTCCTTATTTTTCAGTTTTCATTTATTTAAAAAAATTCCTCCATCATACATGAGCACCAACAATCTGCTGATCTTTGTTAGTTTTGGAGATACTGGAATAAATAAGACCCAAGCCCCGCCCACAGTTCTCAGGTCATAGACAAGATTCTAATATAAATCAAGCACTTGTTAATGTCTTGATATAGATATTCAAGCACCGAGAATTCTGTGAGTTGTTTTGAGGGGAATGGAGAATGGGAGAGGCATCACAGAGTAATATGGCATATGTTCCCAAGACAAAGAGGTCCAGACAGAGGGAACAGTATGGGCAAAGTCACAGTAGCATGAGAGAACATGCACCATTTTGGGCACTATAAATTGCTGCCATCTGTTGGAGCTTAAAGTTCATGTGGATACAATGTGGGTGGTACATGTAAAGGGATGGGGGTGTGGGAGTTATATATGATTTTTGTATCGGAGATGGGCAGGAAAATAAATTAGCCAGGAGAGAAGGAGAAATTGGTATCTGAGGAGAATTTATAATTCACAAGCTTGAAATACTTCAGAAACATAAATAGGACTTAGATGACTGTTTATCCCCACTCTCCTATTCATACTTCCACACCCTACTCAGATACTTTTTCCTCAAGGGAGCCTCTCTAGCTCCCCCAGAATGATTAGCTCCGTCTTCTGTGCCACCGCTTCCCCACTATTGCATTGACTCTACTGTCTGTCAGCCTCCGGTCCACCCACCCTCCCTGGGACTCCTTGATGGAAGACAGGATGCATCCCATTTCCTCAGCATCCCTAGTGCTCTCACATACCCTGGAACATGCTAGGTCCTTGGGAACAAGTGCTAAATTATTCCAAGTCCGCTGTCCTCACCTGCTGAGAGGGTGATGGTGCTGAGTTTCACACGGTAGAGGTTGCTCCGGACCCGCCACTGCTGCACCATGGGGTAACCCATGGCCTCGTCATACCTGATATCTCCTGGGAGAGGAAATAAGATGGTCACGTGAGCCCAGAATTAAGACGCTTCACACCACAAGGCTCACCCTGCAGCTCTTGGTTCTGGGTAACAGACACCTCTTGGAAGTGCAAGCTTTCATTGGGATTGACAATTTTATGAACCCCACCCTCCAGGCCTCTTCCTGGTCTCTAATCTCAGCTCCACCCCTCATTTTTCTCTCTGCTCTATAGCTTGCAAGTCCCCTTTACCCTACAAGTAAGAGCAACCTCAGATCAGATCTATGTCTTACCTCACCCCATTTACAACTTGCCACCAGGCACTAGATATCTCAGTGCTTCAGTTTCCACATCGACACTGTAGCTATCTCTAATGCTCTTATTTCATAAGCATGTTGTGAGGCTCAAGTAAGGTACTAGAAGTGGGAGCCTTTTGGTAACCTAGAAATGTTGTGCATGTAGACCATGTGTAAGTAAACTACAGCCCATTTGTTATGTATTGTCTATAGCTGCTTTCACACTATGACAGCAGAGTTGAGCAGTTGCAATACAAACCACCTGCAAAGGCTAACACATTTATTAACTTTCCCTTTATGTTTGCTGACCCCTATGTAGACTATCATTTCTTAACATGGCAACATGGATGTTCATAAGTATTATGTAAAATAGAGGTATACAGAAATAAACTCTATTTCAAGTAAGACTGAGAAACACAGGCAAAACAAAGTTTAACTGTATAATTTCTCAGCATCTTGATTAGATTAATATGCATGAAGGTAGTGTGCAAACTTCTTTGACCATAAAAGCCCTTTCGTATGAAAGGTCTCTTGGAATTCATGTTTTATAGAATATATTTCAGGAAACACAGGTATAAACAAGAAATAAAAAAAGAAAAGACACAAGGAAGTGTTAGCAAATGATTAACTTTGGGCAGTGGTATATGAAAAATTCTTGTTTTCTGATTTATATTCACCTCTATTTTCTAAATTTTCTACCATAAGCTTTGCAAACTCTTTTTTATAAGCTGAACAAAAATACATTAAAAAGATGCTAGTCACATCAGCAGTTATTATTACTGTTTTTATGTATCCATGCTTTCCTGTGCCTCTGCAAATGGCAGGCACATTTTCTATCCTTTTCTCTTGTCCCCTGGTGAGTAGGCACTTAAAGAGATATTTGATACCAAGATTAAAATGAGAATCTCATTGTAACAAATGATTTCTTCCTGGACATTACTGCAGTATTAAAGTTGTCCATTACTGTCACCTTTTTTTTTTTTTCCTCCTTATCCTCCTTAGCCTTTTCAGGAATAAAATAGTTTTTCAGAGGCTTTCATTTTAAAGTAAAATATTCATGATCCCCAAAGATATGTCCACTGGAGCGAGGTTGTTTGTTATAAATACGTCGTCTTTGTTTACCTGCTCTGCCTCTCCCGTCCTTCCTTTGCAGAGGCTGGGGAGAAAAGGAGATTGTGTGGAGGGAGGAAGGGGAGGACTGTGTTTTTGACTAAGGGCAGAGAAAACATCTGCACAAGAAGATTCAGACACCAGGGACAAGGCAGTCTCTGCTCCTTCCATTACTGCTCATTCATGTTCAAAGCAGACTTGGTGGGGGCACTGGCAGCCAAGGCCTCTCTCCAACAGAGGGATGCAGAATGGTGCAGGCTGCTGAGAGGCAGCTCTTTCACTTGGTGGCATGATGTCCAAATGTAAAAACAAAACAAAACAAAACAAAAAACTTCTTCTGATTATCAAGTAATTTATAAAACCATCTTCTCACTCCATCCCTCACTTCCTTCCATCCCTGCTCGTTCCTGGATTCAAGCCTGAAAGAAAAGCTTCGCCACTGGAATGGATGTCAGCTTTTTGAGGTCAAGGTCATGTTCTATATTCCTCCCCTTCTACAGAGTCCAGAAGAGAGCCTGGCCTAGTATCCTCTCAATAAATGCCTATCCACTGACTGCCTAACTCTCACTCTGTTCCTAACCATAAACTCATCCCTGGGTTACTCTGTCGCTGACTCCCATCTTGCCCTCCCCATCCCAGCTCCCTACCTGGGGATTACGGTTGGAATGAAGCTATGTGATGGAGGAAGGAATTTTTCCTGGTAGTAATAATAATAATAAATATCTTGAAATGCAACAGTTCCCTTTATTAGGAAATCTCCAAAATCCTTGAGTCAAAACAAAGAATCATAACAATTTGAACCACTAATGGATACCCATAGTGTGCCAAGCATTTTATATACATGATCTTTATTTCTCATTAGAATCCTTAAAAAATAATTATCATACCCTATTTTTTTGGCATTGTGTTTTGTTTTGTTTTCTTTGAGACAGAGTTTCGCTCTTGTTGCCCAGGCTGGAGTGCAGTGGCGAGATCTCGGCTCATTGCAACCTCTGCCTCCCGGGTTCAAGTGATTCTCCTGCCTCAGCCTCCTGAGTAGTTGGGATTACAGGCAGCCGCCACCATGCCCGGCTAATTCTTTGTATTTTGAGTAGAGTTGGGGTTTCATCATGTTGGCCAGGCTGGTCTCAGACTCCTGACCTCAGGTGATCCACCTGTCTTGGATGCCCAAAGTGAGGAGATGACAGGCAGAAGCCACTGTGCCCGGACCATACCCTATATTTTAGAGGAATAAACTGAGGCTCAGAGAGGGAAACTGTCCAGGGACATACCAGGATCAATGACAGGTTCAGGGGCCTTTCCATTAAAGCACAGCACCTCCTCACAGACCATGGACATGTCTGCTTTAGGAGGTAGTAAACTCCGCATCACTGGGGGTATCCAAAGAGGGATAACCACTCAGGAAAGATATTATAGACTTGACTCCCCATCAGGAAGGAAGATTAGACTAGATGCCCATGTTAGCTCTGAAATTTTATGATCTTATAAAAAATGAAAATTAAGGAAGGCAGTGAAATTGTTTGTAACATTTTACAAGGTGTCTTTTATATCCATGATTTCATTTGATCTACGTCTGGGTCCCTCTTTGAAATAGCACAGGTCAGGGGTTATGTAACATAGTGGATATGCCATCAGCTTTGGAGTTGAGACCAACTATGTTTAAATCCTGACATGACTATAGACTAGCCACGTGGCCTTGGAGGAGTTCATGACCTAGCTAGCCAATTTAAAGGGGACAATAATGGCCTTGCAGGGTTACATGGTTTAACACATAAAAAGTGCCTGGACCCCAGGACCTCTTAAGCGATGTGGGTTCTCTCCTCCATCTATGCTCTTTCACAGGAAAGGCTCACAGAGGTTAGATGACTCTTTTGAGGTTTCCCAGGCTTGCAAGTGATGGGGAGGGCAGGCAGAGATTTAAACCTAGGTCTGTGACATTGTGGGGTCTTCCCTGGGGGACAATTCCCCTCTCAGTGAGAGAGCTCTAATATCCTTCCCCATAACGATTTCCCCGTGACTATTCTCCCTGGGCTGTGGATAAGGCATGCAACCACAGTATCACAAAGGCAGAGTCAGGACCCTCACATCTTAGGAAATTTCTTAAGAAAAGGGTAGGAGAGGAACTCGGAGCACAAAAAGAGGAAAGAGCACCCTGGGGTTGGACAGAAAATATGGAGTCTCAGGAAAGTCTGCAAAAGGCAACTTCCCAGTGGGGAGAGAAAGTGGTTGCAGGGGTGGGGGAGCTGCAAAGTGGAGTCAAAAGGGCAAAAGACTTGGTGCTATAGCACCCAGGGTTTAGTCCTGGCAGATATGCTGTGTGACTTTGGACTGGTCCCTTCTACCTCTCTAAGTATAGATTCCTAATCTATCAAATGGTAAAAATAATACCCACCCAACAGATGGCACAGTGCCCACACACAAAAACGAGCTGTGTAACTCAAGTGCTTTCAAGCAGGAGAGGCTCCTGGTTGGAGAGTTCACTTTTTTGCTTTAGAATGACTTAAAATGAACCAAGAAAAATAAAATACTAAAAGTGGAAAAATACCAGAAAATTGTCAATGAGAATGAAAAGTGTTTTGAGACTCATTCACAGAGGCAAAACTCTCACTGAGAAAAATTGTTCCTGTTCTCAGAGAGGAACCTCCTCTCAAAGATGACTGCAGTCCCAAGTCTGGGGTCTCGGGGAAGTCCCTGGTTCTGCACAGCCAATAGCAGGAGCCCAAGAGGGGCAAGTTCCTTCCCATCCCATTCCTCATGAAGGAGGAGGCTTGATGGAGCCCATCTTGGATCTGCTGAAGACTGATATGCACTAGGTGTGGAGACTAGGTGTGTGGTCAGGAAACCTGGGAAGGGTCTGGCACATGTGTCTTACCAGTGAGCAGTTGGAGGTCCGGGAGGGGCTCGGAGAGGACCCCCCGGCACTGCTCCTCCACCGGCAGCGGGATCACCAACAGCCCGTCGGCCAGCTGGGGAAAGTCCTTGATGAAGTTGTTCTCCCTGTGGAGAGGAGCAGAGAGACTGCCAAATCGAGGAAGTGGAGGCTGCTGGGGGCTGCAGGGCAAGGAGGCAGGATGCTGTAGTCAGAATAAAGACTCATGGTGGGTGGCTTTGCTGTGATGCCTCTGGTTTCCTGAATCCTAGCTCTGAGAACATGGTGCTAACTACAGGTTCCTGAATCAGGCAGGCTGGGGTTCAAATTCTAGCCCCACTGCTTACTTGGCTGTATGACCTCAAGCATGCTACTATTCCTCTCAGAACCTCAGTTTCCTTGTCCATAAAGTGAGATTCAGATCTAAGGGCTGTTGTAAGCACTTAATGAGAAAAACCTACCAATTATTTAAGATACTCTCTGATGCTCTATACACTGTATATGTGGCTGCTAAATGTCCCCTGGCATAAGCAGTGGCAATCTTGAACTAGGATGTGAGAACTGAGAATAGTGTGTAGTGTTTGAAGAACAAGGGGGCAAGATGAGGCTGAAAAACAAAAAAGAACAAACAAACCTTGGAAAAATAGATGTTTGGTAAAATGGAAGGGCCCTAAGATTTTTTTTTTTTTTTTTTTGGCTCTAACTTTTCCTTTTACAGATGGGGAAACTGAGGTCTGGAGAAAGGGAATGACTTGCTGAATCACAACCTAATAGGTTAGACTCAAACCCATGTCTTCTGACTCCAGGTTAGTGCTCTTTCCCTTGCTCTAACTTCTTTAGGTGCCTCTATCCCTTTCCTGCAGGTCAGCCCCAGGGAACAGAAGACAGACCTCTGAATGACCCCAGAGAACTGAACCATGAACAAAGTTCTGAGAGGATGGTAATAACAGTGCAGCAGAGGGAGGCAGATTTCATTCTTCCAGACAATAGACCTGCCTAAAAATTAACAGCCTGCCAAGACAGGTGGTGAGCTTCCTGTTACTGAGGGTGTGCAAGCAGAAAACTTGACAGCCAGTTTGCATGGATGGTATCGAGGGCTTTTCCATATTAAATATGACTTCTGAGGTCCCTTTATATTCAGAAATCCCCAGCATTAAAGACACGAATTATAGTCTGGAGAGGAGGAGGAGAGAAGAGAAGGGGGAGGAGAAGAACAAAAGGAGGATGTTTATTACTTCATTTTGACGCATGGAATGGTCAACCTTGAAATGAAAATCAGAAGCACGAAAACAAAAATACGTGATGCCAAAGCAATGCCTTTGAAGCCTATATCTCAGGCAGATCAAAAGCACCTGTGAAAGTGTTGAGTGGCTTGGGTCACCTTCCTGTCTGCTCAACATCTCTGCACCCCACTCCAGGCACCTTTGAAGCTCATCATCAATTCATCCATTTAATGAACACTTTCTTCATTTCTGAGTCCAGAGGATGTGACTTTATCACCATCTTCAATACCACCAGCATCACCATCATTATCATCATTGTCTTTGTCATCTGTATTATTCATTGAATCTTTATAGTTTGCTAGAATCTAGCTAAATACTTTATATACATTTTATCACTTAATCTTCACAGCACTCCCAAAAGATAGATATCATTATCTTTAAGTTGAAGACAAGTAACATGAGATTTGGTGTTAACATATGGTGGAGCTGGTCTGGCTGTGCCTAAGACTTTCTGCCTAGGATGCATGTGCATGATGGTGAGTTTTAAGGCCCACACTCGCCATTTAAACATGCTATTGTGTGTGGGTGTGCCATGGCTGTCTGTGGAGTCATCCTTGTTTATGTCTGTGTGTGCAGGTGATAATGGGTTCTACCCAGATGGTTGCTCTTTGTCTGCAAATCTGGGAGTGTGGAATAGCAATGTGAATTTAAAAAGACAGGCTTCTGGTCAATGGAAGTACCTCCACATAACATGTAACACTAGCCGGGACTAAATGTCCTCATTCCTCCCTTGTGATGTGGTGGTCTCTGGTGATAGATTTTTCCCTGAAAGATGTAGCAGGATGAAGGGGTAGTCCATGCCGTAGGCAGTCAACTGGCATGCACTGAGCACATAGTTGGGTGGAATCCTGTGCTGGGGGGGTGCTAAGAACACAGAGACAGATTGATGTGTCCCCTTGTCCTCTAGATCTTCTCAGCCTAGTGGGGAAAACACGAAAATGGCCATGCAGAACAATCGGTGGGGGTTGCTATCAGGAATTCTGCATGTGCCAGGTGCTGCTGCACAAGGTCTCTTCCCTGCAAGATCCCCAGCACTTGTTTTCACTCTGGGCAGGAGAGGCCAGAGTGAAGGTAAGGAGGTAGCTCAGCCTTGGAAGCTGAGAGGAGCCTATGAGGGCTGGGCTCCAATTCTGCCCACACTGCATCCTAGCTGTGTAACCTGGAGCAAACCAACCACATCTCAATGATCTGTTCTGTAACATGGGGATCATAACAGCTACTCAGCTGGCCTTAGTGGAGTGGCAACAATGACAATAGCCTTTTATTGAGCACCTACTATGCACCAGGCACAGTTGCCAATACTTACTCTTCACCCAACTCTATGAAGTAGGTGTCATTTACATTCCCCATTTAGACATTGAAAAGCTGAAGCACAAAGAAGTTATGTAACTACCTAAGGCCACAAGGCTGGGAAGTGGGAGATCCCAGGTGGTTTGGCCCCAGATCAAAATTTAGTAATACATTGCTTTCAACCATGAGTTAAGTTTTAAAGTTGATTCAATCTGGCATTTAAATTTTCCAGAATTCTATCAGGTTTAAAAGCAAACCCAATGCTTAAGTCGAGTATATTTTGTACTTTATTATGTAGTAAACATGACTAGATTGTGCTTTTATTTCTCAGCTTGCCTTTCCCTAAGCGTTCACTCAGATAGTTGAATATAGAAGGGTTAATATTTACTGTATGCCTGGCATAGAGTCTTTGTTTCTCTAACAGGTCATGGTAGATGTCTTCAAAAGACATTCTAGCACTCCTCATCACTGCTTGGGTACCGGGTGTGGAAGGACCTGCCTGTGACAGACACAGGCTGTCAAAGCTGGAAGGGCCATAGTGCCTGGGCGTGTGCTGAGCCCAGACAGGCTGCAGCCAAGACGAGGACCTTGCTGCTCCTACAAGAGAGGAGAGAGCTATTCACCACATGCCCCAGGCTCTGTTCTCTATGTGAACTCTTCAAGCCTCACCACCAATGCCACAAGATAGGCATATATTCCCCGTTTAACCGACAAGGAAATGGATTTTCTATGGACTTACACACTGGGTGCATTTGGGAAATGAGATCTGAAGCCAAATCTATCACTTTTCACTTTACCACCCAAGGGTCTCCATTTCAAATCTCTAGAAATGTTCTTACAATTGCAGAGGAGGGAAGGTAATGCCACCTTCTCTATCCCCATGTCCCTCTCCTCCAATCCTTCTGCCTTCCTGTCAAGTCCATCTTAGCTCTGCAAGGAAATCTGACCCCAATGGGACAACGCAAGGAAGTAGAGTGGGCAAACTCAGGAGGCAGAGGCCTGGCTCAGGACACCCCTTCCCGGAGGAAGGTTTTCCTTCCTGAGCTTCCAGAAAGTACAGGGGGACTTGGAGAAATGCAGAAAGAGAGAGAAAATGGAGGGGTGAGAATTAGCCAGCCAATATGGAAGGCTGGGAAGGAGGGGGGCAGGTAGGCGAAGATGAAGCCCGAATGAAAAACACAGCAACGGCATGGTCTCTCGGGTACTGGGGTCCCTCTGCAACTGCCTGGGCGATGGCCACAAGTCCTGCAAGGCCTCTGCCAGCAGAGGGCGCCCGGGGCCTTTGCATCGATCAGCTGTTTTGGGAGGCAAAACACGGATGAGAAGAGTAGCTGCTGGGAAAGTTCCGCTGGGCTGAGAACCTCAGATGGAAGCCCAGACAGCAGCTGCAGAATCCACCCACCTGGGAGAGGCGACCAGGGAGCTGGCAGGGTGCTGGCTTAAACTTGGATGCTCAGGAATAATTCAGATTCTCAGCGCTCGTGTGTGTGTGTGTGTGTGTGTGTGTGTAGTAAAAACTACCACACAACTAATTCGTATAATAGGAAGACAGAAATAATGGACCATATTTATTTATTGATCATATCTGTTGCTCATCAGTTATGCTGTAGTTCATGTGCCAACGTGTGTGTGTGTGTGTATGTGTAGTAAAAGCTGCTAGGTAACTAACCCTAGCAATATGATAATATTTACTGAGATTTACTGATTGCATTTGTTGACCATCTTCTATATTCAAGGCAGTGTGTCAAGATATAGTAGCGTACAGGAATGGAAAACCAAATGTTTTATGTTCTCACTTATAACTGGGAACTAAGCTATAAGGATACAAAGGCATAAGAGTGATGTAATGAGCTTTGAGGACTTGGCAGGGGAAGGTCGGAAAAGGGGTAATAAAAGACTACATATTGGGGCCAGGCGCAGTGGCTCATGCCTATAATCCTAGCACTTTGGGAGGCCGAGGCGGAAAGATCACCTGAGGTCAGGAGTTCAAGACTAACTTGGCCAACATGGTGAAACCCCGTCTCTACTAAAAATACACAAATTAGCTGGGCATGGTGGCACACACCTGTAATCCCAGCTACTCGGGAGGCTGAGGCATGAGAATCGTTTGAACCCGGGAGGCGGAAGTTGCAGTGAGCTGAGATTGTGCCAAGACTCTCTCCGGGGGAAAAAAAAAAAAAAAAAGACTACATATTGGATACAGTGTATACTGTTCAGATGATGGGTGCCTTAAAATCTCAGAAATCACCACTAAAGAACTTATCTATCTAGTCAAAAACCACTTGTACCCCCAAAACGATTGAAATTAAAACAGATATAGGAGTGTGTATGCCATTTTAACCTCATAAGAACTCTGTGAGACAAGTACTATCATTATTTCCATTTTATAGATGAAAAAACATGTTCAGAGAGGTTAAGGAACTTGTCCAACTGAGGTCCACGGTTAGAAAGCAGCAGTGGCCAAGACCAAATTCTAACACCCCTAGCTTCCTGCTGAGAGCCCAGCACACAGTACGTACATGCTCAGTGAATTGATCCCAAGCCTGTGCTCCTGA